CCGCCGTGCCGACATACCTTCGTGTCGAAGGCATCGGCGCCACAGCCTCCTCCTCCCACTCATTCGTTGACGGGTCGTACCGCTCCAGCGAGTTGACAGTCCCACCCTCGCCGTCGTGGCTGCCGATCACGACCATGCGCGGCCTCTCGCGCTTCTTCAGCGTCTCCTTCCAGCCGCGGCGCCACGCGCGGCACGTCCCCTTGGCGGCGTGCTCCTTGGTCGGCAGCTGGGCGAGGATGTGCGGGGCGAGGTCCGGCGAGAGGAGGACCTCGGAGAGGACCCACTCGGGCTGCTCCACGAGCCGAGCGGCGTGCTCCTCCGCCACGCGCAGCGCGGCGTCGCTCGCGCCCGCCTGCGCCTCGATGATGGCGCACAGCTGCGCTGGCGAGAGGCCCGCGACGCGCGCGCCGATGCGGTGGGAGGCCATCGGCGGGCGGTCGCTTCTTGGCAAGGCCAATGCCTTGGATTTCGCTCGCGAGGTGTAAATAAATAAATAAAAACACCTCTCTACTGTGAAATGCCGTCCTCCCATCCCTCCCTTGGGTTGTCTGTTTTCTTTCTTTCTTTCTTTGAGATGGGTAAAAAGGAACAGGCCCCCGCCCTTGCGATCTTTGTGCAGGGTTCTTTGTGGGTGTGGTCGGCGACTAGCCGGGGTCGTCCTCCCGATGGGGGACTAGCACTAGCCGTCTTCCACATGGTCCCTCGGGTCCCTGCTGCTCCTAATCTCTTCGTACATCCTCCTGCTGATCTCCGCAAAGTCCTGCTCCCTCCCTCGTCTCACCCTGCGCGTCTGCTCCGCCTCACCGTCTTCTGCCCTGCGTCGTCTGGCGACGGGTCCTCCATAGTCGGTCGAAGTCGCCGCCCTCCTCGTGCCTCTTCCCAACGTTCCCTCGGCGGCCGATGCCGTCTGCTCCGGCTCCCCAGTCCCCGGGTCTGCCCTGCTCTCGTCTGCGCTAGTTTCTGCTTCGTCCTCACCGGCGTCTCTCCTCTTCCCTCTCCCCTTCTTGTATGCTTTGCACATCGCGTCGATTCCTGTTCGCGTGAGCACCAGCCTGAAGCCCGCCCAGCATCTGAACCGCTCCCTAAGTCGAAGGAGCATCATCAGTCTCACCCACTTCGCTCTCTGCCCACCGTCTCCGCTCCCTCCCGCTTGAGCCGCCGTCGCGGCCCTCGTTCGTCCCACTGGCTGTTGGCCTGTTCCCACGTTACCTCCATTATCCCTCCTCCTCCGCGACTCCCTCAAGGCTGGCCGGGCCTCCTTCCACCCAGCGAAGAGCTTCCTCAGCCACTCGATGTGTTCCTCTCTCTTCATTATGCGCGCCGTAGCCTCATCATTGAGCTGGATCCACCTCTGCACCGCTCCCGTCGCCGCCTCGGCCACGACTTGCAAGTTCCTCGTGACCCCGGCGCCAAGTCCCTCCCAACTCTCCCCGGGAGATCATCTACCAGCGCCGGC